GCCGTCCACCGTGAGGGCCTACGCCACGAGGTGGAGGCTATTCAGTGCCTGGTGCGATTCCCGTTCCTGGGATCCCAGGTTTTGCCCGCTGGAGGGGGTCCTGGGATTCCTACAGGAGCTTTTCGACAAGGGGAGGGCTGTCGCTACCTTGGCGGTGTTTGCGGCAGCCATTACTTCAGGTCACGACGGGTTCGGGGGGTTCACAGCCCGCTCTCACCCGTTGATTAAACGTTTTCTGCGGGGGGCGCGCAGGAGGAGGCCCCCGCTCCAGAGAACGCCTCCGGTTTGGGACCTCAGGGTGGTCCTTAGGGGGCTGTCGGGTTCGCCTTTTGAACCGGCGGCGGAGGCGAGTCCCGATTGTATCGCTTTTAAGACGGCCCTCTTGCTGGCGTTGGCGTCTGCAAAAAGGGCGGGCGATTTGTGTGCGCTCTCAGTCCATGCGTCGTGCCTGTCCTTTGGAGAGGACGACGGCATGGTGGAGTTGTGGCCCAATCCGGCTTTTCTCCCCAAGGTCATCACGTCGGCCTTTAGGTCGAGAGTGATCAGGATTAGGGCTTTCCACCCGCCGCCGCATGCCTCCCCCGAGGAGGAGCGGCAGCACCTTCTGTGTCCTATCAGAATGCTGAGGCATTACCTGGCCATGACGTCGTCATTCAGGTCGGGTGATCAGCTGTTTGTGTGTCTGGGCCCCAAGAACAGGGGCGCCCCGCTGTCGGCTCAGCGGCTGGCGCATTGGGTCGCCACGGCGGTGCGACGGGCGTATCAGGCGCAGGGCCTGGCCCCCCCGGTGGGTTTCAGGTCGCATTCCACGCGTGGGATGGCGGCCTCTACGGCCCTTCTCAGGGGGGCGTCGGTCGAGGACGTTTGCCGTGCGGCTTCTTGGGCGTCGTCCTCCTCTTTCGTCCGGTCTTATCTTTCGGATGTGTCGGACCGGTCGGTGGCCCATTCCGTGCTGAGTGCAGCGGATTGAGTTGGACCGTTGGGTCCCTCCCCTGAGGAGTGGGCCTTCGGTCTATTTTTCCGCCCTGGTGCAGGAGCTCTTGGGAGAGGCATCCTACAGGTGCGGTACATATATGTGTGTTTGATCGGTCTGGTAGTCTACATCAGGAGCTCTTGGGAGAGGCGTCCTGTGACTACGGTTGACCTACGATTGGTGTTACGTGGGGGCGTCCTTGGTAGGAGTGGCCCGGTAACACGCTTTGTTTCTTCTGCCCTGAGTCCTCTCACGGTGTGAGGGTCTTGCTCGGGCGGAGCTCCAATCACCCTTCGCTGGCCTGCTGGGAGTACATGTTCCTACGGCCTCCGCGTTGTGTCCCACTAGCGAAGTCCTAAGGGACGTAGCACCATGACGTAGAATTAATAGTTACCTAATGTAACTTAAGTTCTACGAATAGGTGCGTAGTCCCTTAGCTACGAGCCCATCAGGCCAGCCCGGCTTGGCAGAGTTCAAGAGGGGGTGCGGCCTTGTGCAGGGGCATTTATAGAGGAAGGTGGCTGGTGATTGGAGCAAATTATTTTGATCTCTCTGGCGTCTGTGACCTGGGGGTCACGTGATATCCCACTAGCGAAGTCCTAAGGGACTACGCACCTATTCGTAGAACTTAAGTTACATTAGGTAACTATTAATTATACATCACTGTTTTACTCACAACTCCATTGAGCGTGGCACAGGAGGCGTCACTTCGCTGCTTGTTCATGGGAGCAATCATTGACCACTGGTTGGAGCGGAGGTCAAACACTTCAGCCGTGTTCAATCGCGATTGGCCGTTGTATCCGCCCAGCGCATAGATGCGTCCGTCCAGCTCAGTCACGCTCACGTAGCAGCGCCGCTCGTACATAGGTGGCATCTCAGACCATGTGAAGGTTGCCAGATCCAGCCTACGCATGGTGTTGAAGCGCTCTGTCCTGTTGAAGCCTCCCAGGCAGTAGAGGAACCCGTCGACAAAGACAGACCCGCGCGGGTTTTCCTCCTGCGACAAAATATTCTTCCAGCAATCCGTCTTGTAGTTGTAAGCCTCGATGGCATTGGTCGCATTGCCTTCGCTCCAGCCGCCGATGGCTAACAGGATTGACTCAGGTTGTCGTGGCCGCAGGGGTAGTAAGAAGAGGTTTCTGTGTACGGTCAGCAGGCTGTGAACGCCTGTGAGTGGATGATTCAGGATATGGTTCTTGATGACATTATAAGGCATCAGAGAATAACGAATCTGGAACACATGAGCACAAGTTGGATTTTCAGAGTCTCATAATGTTTGCGATTTAACCTTATTAAAGAAAAACGTCTATATAATACTACGCTCTGGCTGTATACTTGTATTGAAACTGAAAGAGTTGTTTCAGTGCATCTATCGAGATATCGAGAAACCTGACATTGTGATGGATGGTTCTCACCGTAGGCAGCAGCATGTTATAGTGGCCTTTGCGGCTCTTAAGGTCGTGTTGTACCCACTGTACAATGGCCTGGAACACTGTGATCTCCTCTTCCACCTGCAGTCCATCGTCTTCTAGAAATTCACTCAGCTCCTTCGCTGTGAGATTCTGAAAGTCCTCGCAGACCATCACTTCATCAAAGTGCTTCAGGATGAACCTGCGACACACCTCCCTCGTTTGAGCTGAAAGCACCAAATCTGCGAGGTGCCAGACACTGATGCAGTTGTGCACATTCAGGTGCTCCAGCATGTAGTCGAAGCAAATCAGAATTAGAGGTTCCAGCAGCAGCATATCTGCAGCCATCACCAGCTCCTGGACGGTGTCCAAGCTCAGGTCTACAGAAGCTGTGTAGATCCATTCAAGCAGCAGAGACATGATGTGAGGACTGAGGCCTCCGAGAGGGAAGACTCTTTGCTCAGCAGGAGCCCAGCGCTCAAACATGGCTCTAAAAACACACACAAACAGATTAAGTGTTGAACTTTTAACTGGACTACTTTATTTTCCCAAAAAACAACATTAAACATTAAGTGTCAATATAACTACATTATACAATAAAGCGCTTCAGTGCTCACACCTTATCTACACCTGCAGACTCTAATCTTTTCAGGATCAAAGTCTATATCAGGGCTTTCAAACTCATTTTATATGGGTGCTACATGAGGTTGAGTATGCGTGAAGCTGGCCCACATCAATGGGTATGTTTGTGACGTGTTTGAGCAAGATATATGAGCGTTGATGTGTGTACACGCAGAAATAGAATCAAACCACTGAAATTGGTTTTAAATTTAAACTTTTTAAATTGTATATGCAGTTTAGCTCCTGGATAATTATAATATACTGCTACATTTGAAATGTTCTCATTCTTTATCATTAACAGTAGAGAAAGTAAACGTTTGGGCTCAAAGGAGAGAAACGAAAACAGGGAAACCAAGAATCAAGTGTTTTTGGAAAGCTGTTTAGTTCAATGTTTGTATCTGTGACTTTTGAATGTGTCTCAAACTATAACAGCAGCAGATGCACGGCTCTTATGTCTGATATCATGATGCAGTTGTTGAATCATAATCCTTTGGAATAATACAAATCCTTAAAACTCTTTCACCTCTGCATCGTAAATAATGTCAGTAGATTACAGTAACTCACCTGAAGAATTTGCTGGACTGACACATCATGGCTTTGTGAACTGGGAACTCCTGGTTCTCCACTTTCATCACAGCGTCACAAAAGACGCTGTTGTGGCGTAACTCGTCCAACACATTTGCATATTTGTGTAAATTAACGTCTGGCCGACTCATCTTGAGGCCGGATAGGCGTCAATGTGAACACAGAGAGCCTTACAACTGTGGACAGTCCATAGAACTGTTTCATGTCTCCATGGAAACCACAGGTTCTAAAAGGTGACATCGCCCATGATGTCATCTATTTGCTATTTTTTTTTTTTATTCTAAATACACACTATCAAGAGTATAAAATAAAATATTTGTTTTGGTCTATATTACAAAAAACAGTAGTTTAGTTGAATATTTGTAATTTATAAATTGAGAAGGAATTAATATTGTTTTCTCTTGTTTACTTTTGAATGCGCTGGAAACTGCATGTCCTCAGTAGCTCTGAAACAGTTGTTGTTTTGTGCTTTACAATCGTCATATTTCTGGCGTTTTTCTAGTTGTAAATTATGCTAATGAATCAATCAGAATTTCACTTTGAACCAGTGCAGTGAAAAAAGTCAGGACCAAAAAGACACTGCATACAGTACATTACCCAGAGGATAGGAAGCAGCTCTTTACCAGCAGCTGCTCCACCTCTGCTGCTGTGACCTAAAGTGTTGATGCTTTTTATTACTATTGTTAGTCCATTTTAGAATAATGTGTACAGGACGGAGTGTGAACACAGCCTTTTCTTGAATGATTCGAGTTTCTTTGTTTGTTCATGTTTATCTGGAGTAGAGTAGATTCTTGGTGTCTCACATTTTTTGATTGGTTTAAGTGATGGCTTAAGAGCAAACTGAGAATCCTGACAGAATACTAAAAATCCATAACCTAATCACTGGGCTTCCAGGTCATAATGTACTACTGTTTACAAGAAGATTGGCCAAAAAAAGTCGAGCATCTCACTAAAAATACTGAATGAAATGCGTTTTTAAATATGGTTAATATTGATGAAAGTTGCTCTAAACTTGTGTAAAGATTTGAAAACTGCTTTAAACAGTGGCCAAGGAACACTGGAACATCTCGATACTCTCCATTGGATGCTTGCGGATCATGGGACTTCGCCCTACCTGTCCACATGTGCTTTGTGGATAAATCACAACTATCTGGGAGGACTTAACAAAACTGACGAATTTGCCAGCACAGATCAGAGAATTAAACAGTTCAAGCACAAAAAATTTAATGATAAAAAACACATAGAGCCATTAGTCCATAAGGGGCAGATGACCAATGTCCATACTGTGTATGTTGATAAAGTCCATAAATGTTGTGGAATGTTGACTGTCCTGAATAATCACCACTGTCCTTGGACCCTTCTTTCCATAATGGTAATGATAATACAGATTATGGGGCCCGGGTCCTCTGCTGATGACAGGTGACATTTTGATACAGTTTGAGAACTGGAAGTCCAGCTCTGTGTCCCGTTTGGAGTACTGCTTGCTGCTGTCTGATACAGAAGAGTTTTGAAAAAGGAGCAGAGTGGACATTTCTGGTCATTACCATACATTGAAGAGGGGTCGAGAGGAAGTGTCAAATATGGATTATGGGCTATGGACTGTGAAAATGGACTTGAGGTTTTTGGGCTTTTGGGGGTGCGGGTGTTGAAATTGATAACTACGTTTAAAGTGATAGTCTGGAGTTTTTCAGAAAAAAGATAGAGAGGTACATGATTTAAACAAAAAAAAGGCTGATTGGTCTTGAAGCCGCGCCTACTTTTCCATGCTTGTGTCAAAGGAGAGATTATTAATTTAAATATTGGATCATAATTTATCATACGGCTCCTCACAGCAGCAGTAGAATGCTCCGTTGATTTGAATGTAATTTCAAAACATTCTACCGATCATTATTAGTTGATAATGGACCTCTCAAACCAAATTGGCCACTGCCGTTTGGCAACGCACTCTGTGCTTGTACTTCAGGTGTGTAAAATACCAAAGGCTAGTGTATACTCGCGCGGCGCTGGACCTACGCAGCCACAGTTGCTTGTACACTCGCGCTTTCACCCTGCGGAGTTACCTGGAAAAGCAAAGCTGTCCCATTTACGCTAGATGCTTTCTCCTTATTGTCAAAATAGACTAGTGAACGAGCTAACGGTTAAACTGCTAAACACCTCGTCATTAAATCATGTGGTGTCCAGTTAAAACAGTCGTCTCTCCGCTATCATGAAAATCCTGCGCTTTATATCCAGGTGCAGCTTGTATGTGGACAGAATGAATACTTTTATTTAAAAATTTTGCAGGTGCGGCTAACATACAAGGGCTACTGTAGATGGTACCCACAATACCAAATGTGAAATGATTTTGAACATTATCACTGTAACGTTAGTTGAGTTTGCAGACAGATGACTGTTGGTTTTACAAGGTGAGTATCCCTCGCTCCGCGCTGCTGCTGCCGCGCACCTACAAGGCTCATCGCAGGAGCAGCTTCGACCCGTCAGACAGCCTGGCTCTGCCCTCTGTGAGTAAATACACCTCATTCCCACTGAGGAAAATTACGGAAAATTCTACCAAAAACCTGTCATTACACACTGTGCCACACAGGCTGGTTTGTCAAAACGACTTGGTATTATTAAACCCACCTCACGGACGAGTCATTTTGTGTATTATCCAATGCTTTTGAATGGCGTCTTCTTATCTCTCGAAAACGTCTTGTGCAAATGCGTTTTTTCAACATTTTACTGCCCCGCGGCCATTTTGAAACTGCCCACAGACGGCGAAAGTGGGGGAACATTTGTTTCAAAGGCGGAGATGGGCGTGACTACGTCTGTTAATATTTACAGTTTATGGTGTGAATGTGTGTTTTGTGTGTCTAATACCCCATGGTAGGGTATTATATATTACTCTATATGTACTACCGGGCACAGCAGATTTGCTTTTTATGTTGAAGTTAGAGAGGGGGTTGAAAAAAAATATGCATCTGCTTCATCAACACCTTTTCAAACCTTTAGTTGTGTAAAGATATGTGAAATTGTGTTCTGAAGGCTTGAAATAAATCGAACTGTGAGTGATAAGATTTCTGTCATCTTTATTTTAATGCATACAATATAGTTTGAGCTGTAGATGGAATGAGTCACTTTCCATCCATCCATCCATTTTCTTCCCCTCAATCCATTTCTGGGTCAGAGGGGTGGCAGTCAGAGCTGGACCCAGTACACTTAGCATCAGACCCTCACTGATCCTCCTGCAGGTGGTGAGTCCACAGGAGCTGAGATGTTTCAGTGGGAGGTCCAGGCAAAGTGGGGTTAAGTGTATTGCCCAAGGACACAACGACAGCAGACATCAGTGGGAGTCGTGAAGTAGGTCTCATGGTGGGCTCAAACCCACGACCTTCAGGCTCAAAGGCCAATGCTCTACCAACTGAGCTACTGTCGCCACCACATGAGTCACTTTCATGGTTGATTATTCCATATTAATTTTTTTCTGTATAGTACTTGTGCCAGTTCTCTTGTTTCTTTCTTTCTCATAATAATCTACAGTCTTTTGCTTCCGCGCAGCATTGTCTGTCTGGTTGGTCAAACACAGTTCAAAGTACTGCAGCTGCTCAGAGTAACCTCGATCTGAGGAGCAGCGTGGACACAGAGAAGGAACCTGAAAACCAGGATCTAAAGGTCAGGACTTTACATTTGACCTGTTCAACTCTTGAGAAACGGGAAAGCAGAACTGACTCAAATCTGTTTCTCATTACCTGGTGAGTGTATCCATGACAATGAGACACTAGTGTAAGTACTCAAATCATGTAAATTTTTGGTCTTTCTAACTTTGTGACTTTTTCTAGCTATCTTTTTCTAGATAGACGTAGGAGAAATTCAAGTGTCCAGTAGCAGCAAAAACACATCCATCCACACAAACAAAACAGATAAATTGATCGTTCTAAAAAGTAAACAATAGTAATAGTAATAATAAGAAACATCACTTCAGGTCACAGCAGCAGAGGTGGTCTAGCCTTTGGGTGGAGCAGGACGGGTCACAGCAGCAGAGGTAGAGCCGCTTGGTTCGGACCATTTTCTCTGCTCTAGTTCAGCGTAAAATGCTACATTTTCTATATCTATATGTACAGTAGCTGTTATTATTTGTATAAAATTACCTTTTTACTTTTGAAATGTGAGTTGGTACTGGGTTTGTTCATACTAAAGATTACAAAAGTGTGACAAAAGGCCAAAAATGTTATATTGATAATCAGAAAATACATAATGGTTTTCATTTATCTTCTGTTCATCAGTAGTTAGATGGACAGAAGAGAAGATAGAAGATAGAAGATAACTGTTTTATACATTTGTCAAATCTTATGTTGTGACACAGATAAACAGTCTGTTTATCTGTGTCACGGACGTGTCACGGACGTGTCACGGACGCAATGCCTTTAATGGAATGAGCTATGCAGAATGGGCCGGGAGCCAGACCCGCTCCTCGTATTATGTTGCTGAAATCACATACATTGTCATATCAACCCAAGATTTTGCATGGTGAATCCTGAAACATGGGGCAAACTAATACAAAAAAAAGATTTTTGAGTGTGCTACATTTTTTTTTAAAAAACATCACCTTCAAACACAAAAAAATGTCGGTCGGTCTGACAAACTGATATCAAAAGTGATCATTTTTAAGCATGTTCTTGTACATATCATACCTCAAATGTTATTCAAATTCTGGTCACATTCATGAGGTTCAATTTAAGTCCAGTCCAGTCCAGTTTATTTATAAAGCACAAATAAAAAAACAGGGGGGAACAGTCACCAACTCTCACACAGAAAATTTAAGACCAAGATCATTTTTCTATAGGAAGATTTCAGATTCTATGAGCAACTGTTTTGCATTTCCCTTCCAAATGAGATTAGGCAGGTTTCTTGAATCTTCAAACATAAAAGTGTATACTTTGCTTATGTATTGTTTTATTATATGATGTGACTTTAATTACCAGTGAGTAATATTAAGTAGAGCAATGATTCAATTACTTTTAAACCAGTCTTTTTATTCTTACTTAATTATTCTTGCCACCTCTGTAAATTCGTATCTCCTCTAGCGTTGATTTACTTTCATTGTTCACTCATACTGTATTCTGAATAGAAGAACATAGAACTAGAATAAAGTGGCTTAGGCATTCTTTGTTCCTTTGGTTTCTTCTCTAATCGTATGTTGTTTAACAGGAGAACACCATAGAGATTTAACGATCTATTTTCCAATATGCTGCATTAACTCTTGTTGTCCAGCAGATGTCGCCACCGGATCGATTAGGTGTGTCTTGCTCGTTTCTGGCATCATATTACTGTACAACTCAGGTTTTCAGTCGTTTTGGTGCTTTTCTCGGATCCAAATGAAATTATATTCGCGAGTATTATTTTTACTTCCAAAACATTGAGTCATTTGTGCACATCATCGTAGCTGTTTCTCATTTCTTTTGAACAATTTACAAATGTTTTGGGACATGTATCAATTACTTTCAAACAGTTCTCTGCTGTTTTATAACATTATCATTTGCGTCTGTCATGTCAGTCAATAATGAATAGTCATTCCCTATAAAACTAATAGTCCTCATGTCATTGTTGAACTAGTTGTCACAATGTGTATCTGCTGTGATGAAGATGAAAATATGTGTGACAAGAAGGCGTGGATGTCCGGGGATAATTTATGTTCAATTTACAAAATTTAAATGTACTGTTATAATGTTTACATTTGTGCACAGTTCTACATAAAGCAATTTCTTTTGGTATTCCTAATATTGTAAGTGACTGTGTATGTTTTTGCACAATGCTGTAGAATTGCAAAGAGCATACAGTATGTGCAGTAAATATGTGCAATCCAAACATATGTGTCTGGTACTCAGTTACCTCATTAAATACAGTCATGTGTAACTTCACTGTAGTTTGTGGCTGTACAGGTTGTGCTGATGAGCATTTTCAAGATCTGACTTTTTTGCATTGAAAACACAGAGAGAGTAAAGTGTCACAATGAAAACATAACAAAGCCATTATGAATCTTGTTCATAAACACCGGTGTCAGGACTTATTATTTTGAGACACAGACATTTAGACTTGCTTTTGAGGAATCATTTTGAACAAGTGATGGACTTTTTGCAGGTTGTCAACAAAGTCTTCCAGTTTGTAGTAATTGTTCTGAGAAATGCACTAACTGTTGTGCAAATGTAAATTAATGTATCAAAGCGACTGAAAAGAGGTGGTGGAGGTCTGGATCATACAATATTCATCATTGAGTGACTGAATGTATTTACACTGATTCAGTTTATTTTTAATTTGCTCTCTGGTCTCTCTCTCTGGTCTTTCTCTGGTCTCTCTTTCTCTCGTGTCCCTCTCTCTGGTCTCTCTCTCTCTCTGGTCACTCTTTGGTCTCTCCCTGGTCTCTCTAATGTCTCTCTTGTCTCTCTCTAGTGTTTCTCTGGTCTCTCTCTCTCTCTCTGGTCACTCTTTGGTCTCTCCCTGGTCTCTCTAATGTCTCTCTTGTCTCTCTCTAGTGTTTCTCTGGTCTCTCTCTCTGGTCTCTCTAGTGTTGCTCTGGTGTTTCTCTGGTCTCTCTCTCTCTGGTATTTCTCTGGTCTCTCACAAGAAAAATCCTAAATAATCACAGCACATTGAAAAGAGTAAAGACAAAATCCATCAGTTGTCTGCACAGCTAAACAGAATCGTGTATTACCTGGATTTTGTCAGAAGGAGCATGTCTCACTTTTTTCAGAAAGACTGTTCGAGATTTTAGCTGCATAAATCTGTGCTCCTCAGAGTCCCAGCAGGAGGCCAGTCCCTGTGCTCCTCAGAGTCAGAGTTGGTTCATATAGCACTAACATGTCACAGATGTACGTTTTCATACCTTTATATTCCATATCCCTGTGTTTTCATATTTGAGATACTCAGGTAAACTTGTGTGTGTGTGTTTTATGGTCTGACATGGATTCAGGCTTAAACCAAAAATAACAACCCCCTGATGTGAAAAGCACGAAGCCCTCCAGCTGAACCCTCTCTTGCTTTTGTTGTGTATTTGAAGATGGTGCGACGTCTCCAAGAAAATTGCCAGACGAAAAATAGTGAACATAACAGCCTCGGGAATGGATCTGGGCATCAATAATGCAGAGAGAAGCCACAGTTAATGCTCCTTTAATTCAACAGGTGCAGACGGCGCGGTGGTTACGGCCGCTGATGTCGGATGAGAGTCGGCTCCATCAGGGTTTATGGCCCTGTGCTCCAGCTCCTCCTGACCCCGGTCCTGATTACACCCCCGTTAATGTGCATTCATTTCAGCTCTGTTGTAATGGAGTCTCCAACTTTCCAAGAGTCCTCAGACCGGTGGGAACTGTAACAGAAAGGAGAGAAAGATACAACCTAGATCTATGCTGTATTAACCAACTAGGACTGTGAAGAGAACAGGGACTGGCCTCCTGCTGGGACTCTGAGGAGCACAGGGACTGGCCTCCTGCTGGGACTCTGAGGAGCACAGGGACTGGCCTCCTGCTGGGACTGAGTGACTGCATGTAATTACACAGATTCACTATATTTATCATTTACTCTCTGGTCTCTCTCTCTCTCTTTAGTCTCTGCTGGGTCTCTTTCTGGTCTCTCTCTCTAGTGTCTCTCTCTGGTCTGTCTGGTTTCTCTCACTGGTCTCTCCTTGGTCTCTCTCTCCTTGGTGTCTCTCCCTCTGGTCCCTCTCTCTGGTCTCTCTCCCTGATGTCCCTCTCTCTGGTCTCTCCCTCTGGTCCCTCTCTCTGGTCTCTCTCCCTGATGTCCCTCTCTCTGGTCTCTCTCTCTGGTCCCTCTCTCTGGTCTCTCTCCCTGATGTCCCTCTCTCTGGTCTCTCTCTCTGGTCCCTCTCTCTTTCTCTCTCTCAAGTCTCACAGGGAGCACAGGAACTGGCCAAAGCGTTTTCAGTGGCAGCTAGAAGTTCAGCGGGAGAGAAAGATCGCTCTCTAACTAAAGCTCGAGGGAATCAATGAAAAAAGAACTTTATGAAGGCCAAATAGCACTGGAATCACGTAAATATCAGAGACAAGTCAAAAAGTGTGATATGGGATATGGAATCCTCGGCGTTGCCATGACGATGAGTCTATCCCAGGCAGAAAAAGCCCCAGACCAAGTTGAGGTAAATTTGAGGTAAACACAACTGAACACAATGTGGTGCATTAGATGGAGATCCGAGGAGGACATGATTATAGAAGAGCTGGAGGACAACCTGCTGGTGTAAGTGGAACAGCACCAGAGGCTGTTGAAGGATCTGCAGAGGGAGCAGCAGCAGAGGAGAGAGCTGGAAGACACTCATCAGGAAGAGTTTCGACAGCTGCAGGCAACACTGCAGCAGGCTCAGCAGGAGATGGAGGCCCTGAACGCAGCATGTAAGAAGTCTGCAGAAGAGGCCAAAAGCTACCGGTCAATCATCTCTGCGTTGCAAGACCAGAAGCAGGTCATGAAGCATGAGTTTCAGTCTGTGAAGAAGGCCGCGGCTGCTTCAGAAGAGGCCTTCGAAGAGCAGCGCAGACAGATGGACACAGTGAACACAGACCTGCAGAGAGAGCTGGCACTGGTGAAGGCAGAGAACCAGGATAACCAGGGGACCATAGACCTCCAGGAAAGAGCGCTGGCACTGGTGAAGGCAGAGAACCATGAGACCATAGACAACCTGCGGAGAGAGCTGGCAAAAGTGAAGGCGGAGAACCAGGAGACCATAGACCACCTGCGGAAAGAGCTGGACAAAGTGAAGGCGGAGAACCAGGAGAACCAGGAGACCATAGACCTCCAGGAGCAAGAGCTGGCAATGGTGAGGGCAGAGAGACTGGAGACCATAGACAGCCTGCAGAAAGAGCTTGCACAAGTGAAGGCGGAGAAACAGGAGAACCAGGACACCATAGACCTCCAGGAGCAAGAGCTGGCAATGGTTTGGGAGGAAAGAATGGAGACCATAAACCGCATTCAGAGAGAGCTTGTACAAGCGAAGGCGGAGAACCAGGAGACCATAGACCTCCAGGGTAGAGACCTGGCAATGGTGAAGGCAGAGAGACTGGAGACCATAGATTGCCTGCAGGGACAACTTGCACAAGTGAAGGCGGCGAACCAGGAAACCATAGTTTGCCTGCAGAGAGGTGGCAAAAACAAAGTCCGAGAACCAGGAGACCATAAACCTCCAGAAGCATGAGCTGGCAATGGAGAGGGTGGAGAGACTAGTGACCATAGACCGCCTGAAGAGAGAACTTGCTCAAATGAAGCCGGCGAACAAGGAAGACATAGTTTGCCTGCAGAGAGAGCTGGCAAAAACAAAGTCCGAGAACCTGGAAACCATAGACCTACAGGAGCAAGAGCTGGCAATGGTGAAGGCGGAGAGACTGGAGACCATAGACCGCCTGGAGAGAGAGCTTACACAAGTGAAGGCAGAAAACTTGGAAACCATAGTTTGCCTGCAGAGAGAGCTGGCAAAAACAAAGTCCGAGAACCAGGAAACCATAGACCTGCAGGAGCAAGAGCTGGCACTGGTGAGGGCGGAGAGACTGGAGACCATAGATCGCCTGGAGAGAGACCTTACACAAATGAAGGCAGAGAACAAGGACACCATAGACCTCCTCAAAATTCCTGTACTAGACGCCAACAGCTGCATCGACAAGCAGATGCAGGAGGGAGAGTCGGAGCTTAAGACGCTGGAGGAAAATCTGGCAAACACCCGAAAGAGTTAGAGGAGTGTGGCGCCAAAATCCTCATGAAAAACTCTGTTATCGCAGAGATGGAGGAGGGGAAGGCCAAACTCAAAGCAGATAATAGGCAGCTCCAGCCTCAAATACTGGATCAAGTACAGAAGTTGAGAAACGTACACGCTCCGTCAGAAACAAGACTCACCACGGCCAGGAATAAGTACGTGAAGGAGGTCAAGGTGCTCGAGGTGGTGTGTGAGGAGGCTGTCGAGGAGGCCAAGAGGACCTCTGAACACAACATCCAACATCTGAGGAAGCAGACAGGGCTGAAAGACAAGACGAAGACTCAGACTGGAGCGATAACCAGAAGACAAAAACATGTGATGTTTAGGTCAGACCAGCCGCCACGGGTCGCACTTAAACAAGACAAAGACGTGTCCAGGAGTTAAGAAGTACACACCTATACCCTCACCGTTCCCCCTCATTACCACCAGGCCTACCCAACTCCCAATTCCCTAAAATCTGACTGTTATCTCAATGACAACAGATGGAGGGTTAAGCACTACTGAATAAGCTAATACTGTAGCTTCTGAAAGTTCCATTCTCATAATTTAGCACATGAACTGTTCAGTGACTGTGTGAAATCGTGAATGAACTAAAACAAACTCAAACTAAAACACTCCTTGTTCCCAAAACAGATACAAAACCTCTCAAATATCACAGGAAAAACAGGACTATTTGGAACTTAAACCCTAGTGTTTCACAAAACCAGTAGATTTGGTGCATTGGTCTGTCATGATGCTAAAGCTAACAGCTAGTACACTGGTCTCATGGTGTGAGGCCTGGGTACTGCTGGGATGGGTGAAGACTGCTGGGAACACCAGGTGCTACTGTGGGGCGACTCTAAACTGTTGTTGTGTCCTTAGGCAAGACACTTCACCCGCTTTGCCTTGTGTGAATGTTGTGCATGTGTGAGTGGCAGGTGCTGCATGAAATGTGAAGCTGTAGTTCAGGTTGAATGCAACAGTCTGTGCGCACCACTAGCACTTTTGTGTCATGACAGGCACTTTATAAACACACCTGAATCACTGAGACTGAAACACAATAGGATCTAGCTCCATAGGGTTCAGCTGCTGTTGACCATGTGATCCTGAGACAAAGATACTGCCGTAGACTTTCAACAGAAGTGGGAGTAGCACTGAGTTACTCCCACTTAAACTCCCCCTCCCCCTCCCCCACCCCCATACCCTACTGCAATCCAAAAATATATTAAATAAAAAATAAATAAATAAATAATAAACGTATTGTTGTCTGTTTAGTTAAAGCAGAAGTCGGCAATTTTGTTGTGTTAATGTAAGTCTTAAATAGTTGTATCTTCCGATAGCCATCACTAGTGTTTCGGTCCAAAACTCGTGTTTGGACTGAAACACGGATCTCTCAGTCACTTCACTCTGCTCTCAGGCGTATTTTTGAAAATTCTTGTACCCTACAGTTATTATCCAATTAGGAGAGAGATCGGTATAAGTGAAGTTTCTCTATGTGTGGGCACGCGCACTCTCCAAAACAATGGCAGAGAAAGGACAGAGAGGACAGAGGAGAGAGGAGAAAAGACAGAGAAGAGAGGACAGAGGAGAGAGGACAGAGGAAAAAGGACAGAGGAGAGAGGAGAGAGGACAGAAGAAAAAGGACAGAGGAGAGAGGACAGACAGCAGAGGACAGAGTAGAGAGAAGAAAGGACAGCTGAGAGGAAAGAGGATAGAGGAGAATGGACAGAGGACAGAGGAGAAAAGACAGGAGAGAGGACAGGGGAGAAAGGACAGAGGACAGAGGAGAGAGGACAGAGGAGAAAGGACAGAGGAGAGAGGACAGAGAGCAGGGGACAGAGGAGAAAGGACAGAGGACAGAGGAGAAAGGACAGAGGAGAGAGGACAGAGAGCAGGGGACAGAGGAGAAAGGACAGAGGAGAGAGGACAGAGGAGAAAGGACAGAGGAGAGAGGACAGAGAGCAGAGGACAGAGAGCAGAGGACAGAGGAGAGAGGACAGAGAGCAGGGGACAGAAGAGAAAGGACAGCGGACAGAGGAGAAAGGACAGAGGAGAGAGGAGAAAGGACAGAGGAGAGAGGACAGAGTCAGGCCTGAAATGTCCAAGAGACTATCTTTACGACTTCTCTCTGCACACGTCTGGGACAAGAGGGGATTTCCCTGGACCTGCTAACACACGCACGCACATGCACGCACGCACGCATGCACACACACACACACACGCACACACACACACACCTGGTCGTACCACACCATAGGAAAAAATGCAGGGCAATGAGAATTGATCGGAGTTTACGGATGTCTTAGGCCAGGCTAGGCAATAACTGCTTAAATAAAATGTTTTTTTCTTTAACTTGAGTACATTCTGACTTAAAACAAGATTTGCGATTGGGACAGAGCCATTTAGTCTTAATTCAAGAATGTTTGCTTTATTTTCTTATTCCAAGGGAGATATTAATTACAAGATCCTTTTGTCCCATCGGCAAATCTTGCTTTAAGGCAGTCAGAATGTGTCCTTCCTGCGCCTCTTTCTGGTCTCTCTCACTAGTGTCTCTCTCTCTGATCTCTCTCTGGTCTCTCTCACTAGTGTCTCCCTCTCTGATCTCTTTCTGGTCTCTCTCACTAGTGTCTCTCTCTCTGATCTTTCTCTGGTCTCTCTCACTAGTGTCTCTCTCTCTGGTCTCTCTCTGGTCTCTCTGGTCTATTTCTGGCCTCTCTCTGGTCTCTTTCTCTCTGGTTTCTCTTGGGACTCTCTCTGGTCTCTCTTGGGGCTCTCTCTGGTTTCTATCTCTGGTCTCTCCTTGGTCTTCCTCAGCTCAAGAACTCTTGATTTATTTTCTCATTCCAAGTGAGACATTAAAACATCTTTTACTTTTGTCCCATCAGCAAATGTTTCTTCAAGGCAGTCAGAATGTGCTCAAATTAAGATACATTTCACAAAATGTTTGACTTTTTTACCCCGTCACTTTTTGCAGTTCAGTAGGTTCTCTGTCCAATGACCACGTGCAGCTTTTGTCTTGGTAACTTAGAGAGAGTGTGTGAGTTTATCGCAGCCCACGCAGCTGGAGACACCTCGGCTCGGCGCTGACCTCCTCCTGTCACATGATTTAATGAGCAGGAGCGTGTGGCAAACCGCCGTGGCAGAGGATGACACCAGAGCTCTATTGAATGCTCCAAAGATTAATGAGGTCATCTCCTCTCTGTCAGGATGTCGCGGGAGACGGAGACGGAAACCTGATGACTTTGGGAAGATAATAATAATACACAACGCAACAGTAAATAAAATTAAATTAACAACTGCCACATGAATGTACTGTACATGTGGTTCCTCATATGGAGAGAGGAAACTGAAAAAAGTTAGAGATTTTATAATTAATTCTTGCTTCTTTTTTCTGCTACAGTCACAAAGGTTATACTTAATTTATTCTGCTAAAGTGAGAGCTTTTATTATGCTAAAGTTAGAGATATTATACTTGCTTCTTTATTTTACTTTAGTAAAATAGTTTACTTTAGTTAGTTCTTGTTCATTTCTGTTGTGCTGTGTGCTCCTCGTTCCCACTGTTCTTTAACTTGTGATGCAACACTGACATTTCCTAACTGTGGGACAGAAAAAGGATCTCTTAATCTTTAGGAAGAAACATTTTACTTGCTGTTTTTGGTTTTTTCACTAAATGTGCTTTACAACATTTTTTTTATTGATGATTATTGGATTGGACTCAATATTGGGCCAGTATTTTCTTAGGAAAGCAACTATACATTTGGTCTAAAATAAGATTAGATAAGACATATTGATCTTACAACGGAGAAATTAACATCTCACCTTTGGCATTGATAGAATCAGAATCAGAATCAATCTAAGAATCCCTTAGGTTGTGTAAACATATGCAAACATGTTCAAAAATATAGTATCTTTTGAGCAAGATATTATGTACAATAAAAAAATCAAAGTGACTGAAAGTGAGTTTTATCAGTCCTAGTGCAGGTCATTAAAGGGACTTGTTGTACAGTCTGACTGTGGTGGAGATAGGTGCTCCTTGTTGCACTGAGCTTGCCTCAGTCTTCCACTGAAGGAGCTCCTCTACAGTCCCGTGCAGTGGGTGGTTAACATGTAATTAGAAGAGGTAAGAGTTTTTTTGTTTTTTTTTTTATCAAAAGAAAACCGTGGCCCAGTTGTGGTTGACTCCAAACCTTGGAAATAATATCCAAATTCACAAAAATATGTAAAAAAAAAAAAAAAAAGATAATAAATGTACTTTTTGCCCGAACCAGCTCATATGTTTTTAAGCTTGGCCCCCAACCAAAATGAGTTTGACCTGCACTAAAACGTTGTGGTTGGAGGAGTTTTGCACAATGCAGATGTGAATGTGAATATCCCCTTTCGTCTCGTGACATGTTTCTCTGGGCACACACTACTTTGAGATTTTATGATGATAAGACTCTGAGGATGTTGGGGATCAATCAAATCCACATCCAAATGCAAGACTGCCAGCGATACAGCTCTGCGGCGATTCCAAAGGTTGGTATCGATTATTCCACCCATCTCTGCCTCTCAGAGTCCAAATGGAAGTGACTGCCAGAGAAACAGAGAGGATAATGCTGTTACCGCAGGGAAGACTTTGTCGACGAGTGGAGCAGAGTCCGGACCAGGTGCTTTAAATGCAGTCAGGTCACCGCTGTCATCGTTTGTATCTGCATGGAAACAAGGACGTTACAGGTTCTGTCTGTGGAAAGGCAAGCTTGCTCGCAGTGATTATACAGTAAATCACAACAGTAGTATTGTCGGAGGCCTTTACAAAACCGTTGCATTCGCCAACACAGATCGGAGAATCCAACAGCTCAAACACAAGAAATGCAATAACAGAAAACACGTAAAGCCATTGATCCGACTGTACTGTAGGACCAACGAACACTGTCGAACTCACATATCTGTGCAATATCTTGAACCAATGTCTGAATGTGTAAAATTAAGCCACATGTGTCACTGTCTACTATAATTTCTGCACTAATATACAGGATTTATACTTGCTTCTTTATTATGTTAAAGTCAGAGATGTTGTACTTAACTCTTGCTTCTTATTATAGATTATAGACTGCTTCCTAATAATGCTAAAGCTATAAATGTTATTCTCTGTCATTTTATTTAGAAGAGGGGCAGATGATAATGTCCATAAATGTCGTTGATAGTTGAGCGTCCTGGATCATCACCACTGTCCTTAGACCCTCCTGCATCGGAAAGGAACAAACCCAGAGAGAGAAAAGGAGAAACCTCGGGGAAGCCCACTCCCATGGACTCAGGCTATAAATCTAGAACGCAGGCTGTTGTCAAGTGGTACCGACACATGTGGTGAAACAAAAGAGACATTGTTCTATACATTGAGCCAAACATATGAAAAGGCTTTGGTGAGTATTTACATGGTCCAACATTTGACTAATAATCTACACTCAACCCTGTCATGTAATACAAGCGGAGCACCATTAACAGGTTATTTATGAGAGTGCAGTAAGTAATGTATGGAAAGTTATATCTATACATTTTTATTCAATTCAATGTATTTGCAAAGCCCTAAATCACAACAACAGTTATCACGGAGGACATATATTTATTTCATATTCTTTTTTACCTTCTTATCTTATTTTAATTATATGACCTTAAATAATAGACCCTGTTTGATCACAATCTGAGTGCTCTTATTTCCTTGTGTGCGCAACAACAATGACACTGAATCTCTGAAATCTCTCCACTGTGAGACGAATAAAGGAATATCTTATCTTATCTTTTTACAAAACTGTCGATTTGCCAAAACAGATCAGAGAATCAAACAGTTCAGACACGCAATTATATAAAACACATATAGCCATTGGTCCATTAGGGGCAGATACCAATGTCCATGAATGTCGATACATGTCCACTGTGGCACATTGGTCAAAGAATGAAAAGTGTGTGTATATAAGTACGTGTGTGAGTATATATGTATGTACAGTATGTCTACTGTATGTATATGTATATGTGTGAGAAAGTGCAACTCTATAAGGTAAATAAAAAAGCCCTTAAATGTATGTGTGGATAATCTTTTATAGTATGTGCCAGATATGTCTTAATCAATTCCTGTTTATAAACTTGAAATCAAATAAAAATTAATAAATACATGTCGTTGCATGTTGAGTGTGCTCACCACTGTCCTCGTTCGTACATGACTTCCTTTTGTAGGTATGAATATGAGTTCCTCTTGAGCTGCTATAGTGTTAGGGGCCTCCACTGAGGGGCGCCATTGCCCTGCAGTGTCCGCTCTCTGTCAGCTCAGCCTCTCCTGCGCGCAGCCTCTCGCTCCTCTCGCTTCTCCTGCTTCTCTCCCTCATCTCTCCCTCATCTCCCGGACATCTCCAATCAGTTTGTCCGACTGCACAGTGGCGGCACGGGGAGCACAGAGAGACCAGAGGAGCCGCTGGAGGTCTGGATCAGGACCATGAGTGAGGCTGCGGCTGCTGGTGCGCGGTGACGCTTGGACCAACTTTTATAGACTTTGTCCAGTGCCGCACGTGAGGATCTGACTGAGGAGAGACTAAGGACAGAGGACATAGGACAGAGGAGAGACTGAGGACAGAGGAGAGACTAAGGACAGAGGACAGAGGACAGAAGAAAGACAGAGGACAGAGGACTGAACGCTGCCTCTCAGTGTCCTGTGGCGCGGTTTCCATGCGTTGTGCAGAGGGGCGGCTGGACCCACATGGACGTGGCTCTTCTCTCTTAAAAGAACCGGGCTCATTGACAATGGAGAATATATGAAGGGGGCATTTCCCAGGGATTGAATAACATCACAACGGCAGGTAAGCAGCATCCACACTCACATGCACACGCACACGCACTGTATGTTGCCACAAATAACCAGTACACGAATTATGCATTTTGGGTCTATATTAGTCTATAACAGTGATTTTATGACTTCTATGATTCAACTTTTGTGTGTTTCTGTGTTTTCATTAGAGCTTGAATATGGTATAGGGTATGACTATTTCCTTTAGGCTGATAAAACATTCACACGGTGCTTCTGGACTATAGGATCCTAATTGATTGATCAGTTTCACTCATTTCATGGAGGATTCATTGGGCTAAATACTGTAATCGATTCCTTGCAGATGTGTGTGAATATGCGGCGTTTTATAACAAACCTCTATCAAGCAGCAAATTTTTTCTGATTGTCTTCCATATAATTCCCAACTCTTTGCCCCCCCCACCACCAATCCCTGCTTTCCACCTGCCCTTCATCCCCTAGACAAGAAATGTTCGTCCGCTATACACCCCTCTCCTCAATTAGTGCTATCATCGCATTTCATCCTGAGGAATACCAGGACGGTAATAACCTTACATTCCTTCAGCGGCTGATACAATTCTGCTGTGATTAATTGAAGTCCCCTCAGAGAGTCAGGGGAAGCGTAGATCTATCCCTCTCACACTCGCTGACAAGCCACCCATTATATTGTTTTATAGATTGCCGTCAGAGCCCTGGAAGCTGCCTGCGGCCCACTGTTGTTCTGGAGGCTTTATTGTGCCCTCTTATTGGCTGCGGTGGCTGACGGACAGAGCAAAGGCCGCTGTGGGATTACTGAAGTTGGGATCACAGTTGTATTTGAGAATAAGAGACTTTCACTTTTGGAAGTTTGAAAAGACGCTCTTTCTACTGAACTTGTGGAATGAGTTTTCTTTGAAAATACAACAAAAAGCCGAACACCTGTCCTGGCTGTGTGTACGCTCATAAGACTCGGCCCCGGAGCATGAGAGCTTGAACATGTTCGATGGATTATCTCGCAGTTTCGGTAGCGCCTGACAAAAGCCTGAAGAAAGCATGGCACTGAGTCATAAGCATCCGCCACCAGGTGATTCCAGAGAACAGAGAGAGCGGATAAGAAGCTTGTCTTGACTTTTAAGAAGCCACCGCAGGCTGTATAGTGTTCTCCGACTGTGTCTGCTCACTCTGTCAGATCAATAGGGCATAATATAAGAGTCGGCTGCTGTTTGTATCACGAGACAAAACAACAGATGTGCTGGCGTTTTATACTGAGACTGTGCAAAGCCTGTGGTGTTAAAACCTGAACAATTCAATTCAATGTATAGCCCTGAATCACAACAGCAGTTTTCTTGGAGGACTTTACACAACCATTGAACTGGCCAACAAGACTCAGGTTTTTAAGAAGTCCAAAAGAGCTTTGCATCCTACAGTGGGGCATGGCAAATGTGTCAGTTTATATAAGTGATGTACTCTACGTGTCACAGCCCACCGCCGTCTCCACGAGCAGCACTGCAGCCTCAACGTAAAACCACAGAGATATTGCATCATTTTAGAGATTCTATATTCAACAGCAGCTCTGCGGATTCTCCTCAGCGGAACAATCTAATATATCAGCCGTCTATCTGCTCATGATTACACAGGATATCCGCGCCACACGCCTGTTGTTCAGCGGTGTTCTTAAGCTAATGTGTTTAGAGTCAGATTGTTCCACCTCGGAGCAGCTCAGTGGTTGCAAAGAAAAAGTGCTGTCTCTTTGTCGCTGCCTTTTGACGCCGTGTGCGACAAGGGAGACAGGGGAGCGAGCTGGCTATATTAGTCTCCAGTATAGACAGTCATTTACATCTTGCTCTCTTGACTCATCTCACTCTGGTTATTGTAAAAATGGGATGCTCAGCCTTTTGTGTGGGGAGTTCCCCTCAGACTGATCTTAACGCCGCCCTGAATGATCCACAAAACATCTACGTCAACAGATTCCCCTTTACTTTCTGTCATGGGTCAGGCTGCTCAGGCTATATATAATACTAATATAGGTGTAGTCGTGTAGGTAATGTAGTCTGGTTGAACTAACAGTTTAATACAAATAGTACAAAAGTAAATCAAGACCTGTGCGAGAAAGTAGAGGTTCTGGCTGCTCGGGTTCAATGTCATGTTTTTTTTTGTTATGAACATTTGCCTTAGCACACTTATAACAACATATTTTTTCTTAGATTAAATGGCTGTAATAAAACGGTTAGCAAACACAAGATCCACACTGAGGATTTCAGAGGAAAGGTTGAACTAAAATCTATAAAATCTAGGCCTGTAATAATAAAGTTGTTCTTTTTATGCTTTCAATTCATTGATTAGTTGTTTTCATCTCAAAAGGTCAGAGAATACATGTATATGATTCTTTTATGCATTTGATCAAAACATAGCTCAAGTGAACTCTGCAGTCAAAAAGTAAAACTAAAAGATTGACAATTATTATTTTTATTAATCACCTCAATAGTCAGTTAGCTGTGATTCCTCGATGTACTTGTTACAGCCTACTCAAATCTGCCAGGTGTAGTGGACATAAAGGTGACGTTTGAGTGACTTTTATTGGATGAGCTTTCGACTCCTGGATAATCCTGGTTCTGAACAATACTGTCAGAGCTCAGGAACCTGCTGTTCCGTGGAGCTGATCTGAAGGTTTGTCGAGCTCCCGGCTGCTCACTCTCACACCTCTGTATGCGCTTTACATTTGGTCTGCTTTAAAGGTCCCATATGTGGCTCTTCATGACGGACCATCCTAGTCATGTGTGTGAGCAATGTGGATGATTCACACTCAGAAACTATAGCCATAGCCATTTTTTGCTTAGAGGTGATGTCACTTCAATGAAAACAAGATGACTTAGGAGAGAGGCTGCGTGCGCTGATTCACTGTTTTGATTTCTCCACCGGTCAATCACTTTCTGGAGGCGGAGCTTCTTCAGCTCGTGCCGCATCATCAATGTGAACCGAGGCGTTTTGCTGCCTCTCGAGAATGAAAGAGAAAGAGCGTTCTCTAAAGCTTGAGAGGGAATCAATAAAAAACTACTTTTGCCATGTTTCATTCATTGAACTTTTCATCCTCTATATTAGTTCATGTTTGGGTCTGTCGGGGGTGGCAATCAGAGCTGCACCCAATGCTCATAGAACCAGTTCATCGCCGATCCTCCTGCAGATGTTGAGGCTACGGAAGGATGGCTGCTCCTTCAGCAATGACACAGCTTTGGTGCTTTGGGCATGTGTATGAAGCTAAATGGTGCTGTAAATATGTTTAAAACAGAGACAAGTTGAAAAGCGTCATATTGGAACTTTAAGCAGGCCGTTTTCAAGGTGCACATTTTTTCAGTCTCTTTGGTGCATTTCTCACATCACTCTTAACATTTGCACAACAGTTAGTGCATTTTTCAGAACAATTAGTGCAAACTGCTAAATAAAAAAAGTGGATAACAGCAAAAGTGCTTCATCTGCTCAAAAGCAAGTCTTCATGTCAAGGAAACTGTCTGTGTCTCAACATATTAAGTCCTGACACTGGTGTTTATGAACAAGAGTCAAATGGCTTTGTCATGTTTTCATTTTGACAGTTTACTCTCTCTGTGTTTTCAATGCAAATAAGTCAGATCTTGGAGACACTACCTATAAACAGCACTATACACTGTACAGCCAAAAACTGCAGTAAAGTTAATGTATTTAATGAGGTACAGTAAGTGAGTACAAGACACATTACAGTATGTGTGTATTTCACATATTTACTGCATATGCTCTTTGCAGTTCTACGGCATTGTGTCACTCATTTAGAGCAAACATAAGAAATAACTTTATGGTAGAACTGTGACAAATGTAAACAACACAACAATACATATAGTATTACTGTAAACTGAACATAGATTATTCCTGGACTTCCACGCCTTCCTGTCAGTCTGCCCACATATTTTCATCTGCATCACAGCGAAGAAACACATTGTGACAACTAGTTCCACAATTTTGTATATAATGACTCAAGCAATTAAATGAGGATTATTAGTTTTATGGATAGTGACGATTCAGCGTCAAAAGTATGTTACATTATCACTGACACGACAGAGGCTTATGATAATGTTATAAAACATCAGAGAACTGTTTAAAAGTAACTGATACATGTCCAAATGTCATTGCACTTTGCTCAAAGGAGAAACTGCTGCGATGATGTGCACAAATGACTCAATGTTGTGGAGGTTTAATGTTTTCTGTCTGTACTTGTCTGTGCACACTGGAGACTTCTGCTAATATATTCCAATGTGGTGTTTTTACTGCAAATGGCTAATACAATGAATCTGAATCTGAATCTGAATCTGAGGTTGAAATAATAATTTAATGTATTCTTGTAAAGCCCTACATAACAACAGTCGTTTTCTGGGAGTAAGTAAGTAATCTTTATTTATACCTGTATACCGCCTTTCACAAACCAGAGTCACAAAGCGGTTTACAATTGTTATTTTTGAGCATTTGTCCTCTCACTCCACACAGAAATGGGAGCGAGGTCGCCAGTACAGGAGGCGCATGCCAGACCTATTGTGCATGTTTTTAGTGGTAGGGGAAACCGGAGTACCCGGAGGAAACCTACGCAGACCTACGGAGAACATCCACTCAGCCCCCATCCTGCCTGAAGTGATTTTTATCTTAATTTGAGAGCATTTTGACTGCCTTAAAACAAGATCTGCTAATGG